GGGCTGCTCAGGCTCAGGGGGTAGGAGTACATGGACGGATGGTCACAGGGAAGCAGTACCTATAGGAGGAAGTGGGAGAGGAGATATTGCATTGTGCTAAATTGTGGTCAATGTCATGAGACAAAGTGTATGTGATCTGCTGTATGGAAAGTGTATTTGCTCTAAATTTTCACCCAAATCACAATAAAAAAATAAATAAATAAGTTAACATGGAAAAAAAAAAAAAGATGAAGAATTGCTGCACAGGCCTGGGGGAGGGTCTAGCCTCACCTTGGAATGCAGGTCTATTTGGTACCCCTTGTTCTATCCTGACCTACTTGAAACAGTTGGAAGAAAGGGTCCCACTTTAACATCCTTTCAATTTACTATAAGACAGGGACAACAAAATCTACCTTGCAGCCTTTCTGTGTCATAGTAAAATGAAATATTATGGGTAATGTAACTGTTATTCTGAGTACTCAGTAAAATGTGAGTTGTGGGTGAGAGCCCAGGACAGGGATCAGTCAAGGCTGGAAGTAGGGACTGGAGGCAAATATGTATGTTCACCCCAACTCTAATGGTAGGGTCTGTGATCAGGGCTTTTTAAAAGTTAATTAGAATGACTATATATTTTTATAACATTTTTCTTAAAAATGGATTGTAAAAGTAACCTTGTTCATTATATAAAATGCAGTCATTACAAATATGCATAATTTGAAAACAGCAAACCCCTCTGTAATCCCTTTGTTTCAAATCAGTAATGTCTCATTTAAACAATGGCTTTTTTTGTCTTTTTAATGTTTGAATTGGTAACAAATTCATGTGTTTCAAAATTCAAAAAGTAGAAAAAGGTATAAATGAAAAATCTTCCCTCCATACCTGACCAAGGCTTGTTTAAAGGGCCTGATATATAAGTTCCTGGCTCCTGCTGTGTGTCATTGTGTTCAAGGAGGTGGACCAACATCTCACTCTTTGGAGTCAGACTGCAGATTCAAATCTTGGCTCCACCACTTACTAGGTAAACTTGGAAATGCTAATTATCCTGTCTGTGCCTCAGTATGATGTTTTGTTTTGTTTTATTGTAAATTGGGGATGATAATAGTCCAATAGAAGCACTTTTATCCAACACAGATCAGGATTGTTCATTGGTCTGTTAACTGAAAAAGTTAGTGGAAGCAAGAATCATAAAAAAGAGAAAGAAAAGATATGTATACATGCTATCAGTTAGATTTTACTGCTTAAAAAATACCTCAAAATTTAATGGCTTGAAATAAAATTTACTATTTTTCATAATTTTGAATGACAGCTGGGTGGTTTCTCTGGTCTGAGGCAGCGTGGCTGGGCTGGATGGTCTATGCGGGACTCGTTCGTGTGTCTGGGGTCTCACTGGGACAGGTGGAATGACTGGATCTCTGTGTGGTCACAATGCCCATGTGCTTTTCCAGATTCCCCCACTGTTATGTTTCCTAACACCTGATTGACCAAAAAACAAATCACATGTCTAAATCCAGATTCGAGGTCGGGGAGAAAGACTTCGTTCACTTCCTGATGGTAAGGAGCAGCAGAGTCGCATCATGAAGAAGCCTGCATGCAGGTTTAGGAGAAGCAGGTGGTCTTGGTAAACAGTCAACCACACACATGCCTTACACATTGTAGTTTAATTTAAAATATTAATTCCTTCACCTTTTGATACAGAATCAAGGTGTTTTGAGGCTACTTCAACTGATTGCATTATGTGTTATCTTGCTTATCTAAACGCCCACATGAGCCAGCTATGATTTCTTATTTTTGTTTCTTTAATGTGGAATAAGAAAGTCATTGGGAGAAAAAATCTGAATAAAGAATTCATCTAGATTTTTATAATCCCCCTACACTAACCTCTTACAGTGTTTCACCCACACCTAATTCAATTGTAGTTGATTTTTTACAGTGATCTATTCTGTCCTCTTTGCTATTCATAAGGTTTTCCCTTGACAATTCTTTGAGAAGTGGACAGCCTCTTTGTTCTTCCTAGTCTGCCTCAGTTTGTAAGCTGGGCTGATACCTGTGCACCATGTGCATCCCACTGGGTTTGAAACACCAGTGGCTCAGCCTCAAAACTCACATCAAAACGCCACCACGGTAGGACAAACAGACAGACAAGTTTGTCTTCCTGTTGGAAACCTCTCCTACCACCCTTACCTGGGTCCCTGCGGCTGACTCCTCCTCTGTCCAGATTCCTAGGCCTTTTAATCCCCTTTCTCCCGCTCTCCCGCCCTGCTGCTTTGGGCGTGCCTGAGTTCCTCTCTTCATCTGGATCCCTTTGGCAGTCAGGACATTAGATGATGTGTAGCATTGGGAAAGTCAACCACAAAGGAACTGTTTGAAGTGCTGAGGAGCAAGGATGTCTCCTTGAGGATGAAAGTGCACCTGACACAAGCCGTGATATTTCCAATTGCCTCGTATGCATGTGAGATCTGGACAATGAATAAGAAAGATTGAAGAAGAGTTGATGCTTTTGAGTTGTGGTGCTGGCAAAGAATGCTGAAAGTACCATGGACTGCTGAAAGAACTAACATCTGTCCTGGAAGAAGTACACCCGAAATGCTCCTTGGAAGTGAGAACGGCCAGACTTCATCTCACCTATTTTGATCATGTTGTCAGAAGGGACCATTCCTTGGAGAAGGATGTCATGCTTGGTAAGGTGAAGAGTCGACAAAAGAGGGGGAGACCTTCAACAAGATGGATTGACACATTGGCTGCGATGATGGGCTCAAGTATAGCAGGGATCATGGAGCTGGCACGGGATCGGACAGTGTTTCGTTCTGCTGTGCATGGGGTCACTGTGAGTCAGAAACAACTCGACGGCACCTAACAACAACAACAACAACAACATTCTGTTCTCACTGAATTTTTCAAAGCATCTGACCTAGTTTTCTTGGAAGTGACAGACCTTTCTTCACTCAGATTTTGTAGATTTAAGCAACATTAAATTACACTGAAGAATTACAATGATAAATACTACTGACCTAAATGATTTGGGGACAAAAGCAACTGATTCTTGGTGAACATACTCTTCACCTGGTGGGTATCCTGGAGCAGTCAGTAGGCCGAGGCATCAGCCAGTATGTTTACCAGAGGGAATGAAGAGCCATTTAGTGGAGGTTCATTAAGAGCTCCTGCTATACCTGCTGCGGCTGTTTTGAGGAGGTGAAAATGCCCCTTAAATGCTTAGAACACTTGCCAGCTTCTAGTCATACTCAATAAATGTTCGTTGTTTATCATGATCATTAGTGTTATTATTAATATCATTATTATCAGTGTTTGACCCAAGGAAAGACCTTGAGACAAGGTGGAAAGTAGCCTAAGCAATAATAAAATGTACCATCCCCAGTAGTATCAAGTGAAATTGGAGGGGAACAATGGAGCTGGAAAGGGAATTGTAAAACTGATGTAGGAGGACCCAAGAGATAGAACTATAGGAATTGGATAGTTTGGGCAAGGAGCATGGAGAAGGGGACATGTAAGGGGAGATCGTAGTTTCAACATACTTATTTGAAGCATGATAATTTAGAACATTGGTTCCCAAATGCTGGTTCACAGACAAGTTGCTTCAGCACCACCTGGGAAGTTTGTTAAAAATGCAGAGATTCTGATTCCTTAGGTCTGTAGTGAGACCCAGGAACCTGTATTAGTAAAAGCTGCCTAGGTAGATTTGGGCAGCCACATTTGGGAACTCATGCCATGAAATATGATAGAGAACTGGAAACAGTCCTGGTTGAGAATAGACTTGCTATGGGACTTCTCTGGGACTCAGCTTCACATCTGTATAATGAGGGGAATTTTTCTGTTAAGTGACTTTCTCAGGCCTCTGTCTTGCAGATCAAGGGAATGAAGAGTATGAATTGTCCCTTGGAGAACTTCCTGCATATGTAAGGGGTAACTCTTAGGATAGCAGCAGGTACTATCTGTATTTGAGACAACCGCATCAATCAGTGGTCCACTAACTGGGCTAACTCACCTTCTGTCTCTCTCCTTGCCCTTATAGCACAGCAAGGAACTTAGGCCACATGATCTAAAATCCTTCCAAGTGAAAAGTCCTTTAACTGTGATTGTTTCATGTTTTACAGACACCAAGGTACTATATGTTCATATGGCTTCTCATAGATGCTATTTCTGCAGTTTTAATTTCTGCCATATTTTCTTTTCACTGGTAAGTGTATATAATTTTAAATGATTTATTTCCCAAAATAAAAATAATAAATGGTTCTTATAGAAAGTTGGGGGTGGGGGAAAAGAGTTACATTCTTATAAAACCACCTGGAATATTCTCAAGAAGATGGGTTTATAATAGGAATTTCTTGTTTCTTCTCATGCTGCCTGCTGCTCCTTACTTCCCTACCTTCTCCGCAGCATTAGAAAATAATTTTAAGGATACGGACTCTCACTAAAACTTAGTCAGTGCCCATTGGTCCAGTGTGTAGCTATTGGGAGAGGGAAGGGATTGAAGATTGTCCAGAACAAGTGCCTCCATATTCCCACCTTCCATGAAACGGAACATGGCAAGGTGCTGTGCAAAGAGCAAGTTCACAAATTGGGAAGCCTAAGTTTTAGCTCTGGCTTTACTCCTTAGGTGTTGAGTGACCCTGGGGAAATAACAGCCCCTCTCTAGGCCATGGTCTTTTTATCTGTCCAAGAAAATTATATTTGAGAGATTATTTCAGGGAAAATTCTACAGGATTTGCAAGGTTCAAAGTGAAAGGGGGAACATCGTGGTTGAAGATGGTTAACTGGAGGAGAGCACAGTAATTTATACTCCAGCATGGTTTATAATTTTATTTGTGGCTTATCCTCTAGAGGGGGGAAGCACAAACCCTCTACTCAAACAAGAATTTGGCTTGGTAATGTTTCTTGTCTGGCCACTGCCTTGAATTATTGCCTTTTTTGGAAGAAGCCTGTGAGGTTCACGAATGATCTGCTTTCTTTCCAGGTGGAAAGAGAAACAAAGAAACAAAACGTTCCTAAGATCCAGCCTTCGCCCAGGTAAAGTAAGAAGCCTAGCTCATTCCTATTTCTCCACCTCTACTCATTGCTTCCTTAGAAAAAATACAAGTTAACCTGACCCCAACCACCCATCATGTTGAAATAGTAATAAAACTGCTTCTCATGTGTCTGACCAGAGCTAATGATGCTTGGAAAGTAGGAGATTGAGGACCAAGGAGAGCTTGGGAAGTGTAGGCTGGGCGTGGATTTTGGAGGGCTCTTTATCAAGTTTCAGATTGTGGACTCATCCTGTAAGCAGTAAGATGCCTTGGAAGATTTTGAACATGGATGTTTATTTGCTCACTTATTTTTATATTCTCTCATCATACAGTTCCTGAGTACCCACTCTATACTAGATGCCCTGAGAGGGGCTGAGGATGTAAGACAAGCCCAACAAGAGAAAGGGAAACTCTCACTCACTCATTGTCATCGAGTCGTTTTCTGACTCAGAGTGACCCCTTCCTTGGGTTTCTGAGGCTGTATCTCTATGGAAGTAGATTGCCCAATCTTCCTTCTGAGGAGTGATTGGTGGGTTTGAACCGCCAGCCTTCTGGTTAGCAGTCAAATGGCTTAGGCACTATGCCACAGAGCTCCCTGTTTTGGAAGCCAGTACAGTGTCAAAGGGAAAATCAATTTGGTGTCAGAAGATGGTACAGTGTATGATATAATTTCCTTCCACAGCTCCTGGAGCCTTAAGTAAAGTTGGAACAGTTACAAAATCATGAATTATTTGATTTCTTCCTTGTGGATATTGGTGAAGACCCTGAGATCCTGTGTACTATCTGGCAGAGGATTTAACTGAAAGAGCATTTAGGGTTTCAGAAATGAATCTACAGGGACCATGAAAAATACATACAAAACTTTGAAGAAATTAAATGGAAGGCAATGGTCTTTCAAATAGTTGAAAACTGAAGATTCAAGCCAAGCACACCCAGATTTCTAAGAGGACAGGGAGATCTCAAGTAATGAATTACATGAATTTTAAGATCACTCTATTAGCTGTCTTAACAAATCTAAAAAAAGTATTCCAGTTACCTTATGATTTTCAGTGGTCCAGCTAAGAAACAAATGTAACAAGGAAATGATGAGGAAAGCATGGATAAAAGAGAAGTTTTAAAGGAAGAATTGAAGAACTGTATGAATTTGGATAAAGGACATAGCTGTACCTTAAAAAAAAAGGAAGTACAAGTTAACTTGGCCCCAACTCTCCACCATATTGAAATGTTACTGTTAAGTACATTGAGTTGGTTTTGACTCACAGCAACCCACTGTACAATAAAATGAAACATTGCCTGGTCCTGTGCCATCCTTACAGTCATTGCCATGCTTGAGCTCATTGCTGCAGCCACGGTGTTAATCCATCTCATTGAGGGTCTTCTCCTTTTTCACTAACCCCCCACTTTACCAAGAATGAGCTACTGGTTCCTCCTAATAATACCACCAAAGTACGAGAAACAAAGTCTGGCCACTCTCACTTTTAAGGAGTATTCTGGCTGTACTTCTTCCAAGACAGATTTGTTTGGTCTTCTGGAAGCCCATGATGTATATTCAGTATTCTTTGCCAACACTGTAATTCAAATGCATCAATTCTTCTTTGGTCTTCCTTATTCATTGTCCAGCTTTCCATATGAGGTTATTGAAAATACCATGGCTTGGATCAGGTGCACCTTAGTCTTCGAAGTGACATCTTTGCTCTTTAAAGAGTTATTTTGCAACAGATTCACCCACACAGTACATTGTTTAATTTCTTGACTGCTTCATGCGTGAGTGTTGATTGTGGATCCAAGTAAAATGAAATCCCTGACAACTTCAATCTTTTCTCCTTTTATAGTGTCCTCCAGTTGTGAGGATTTTTGTTTTATGTTGAGGTATAATCCATGCTGATGGTAATAGTATTTGATCTTCATCAGTAAGTGCTTTAAGTCTTCTTCATTGTCAGCAAGCAAGGTTGTGATACCTGCATATTGCAGGTTGTTAATGAGCCTTCCTCCAATCTTGATGCTGTGTTCTTCTTCATGTGGTCCACCTTCTTGGATTATTTGCTCAGTATACAGATTGAATAAGTATGGTGAAAGAATACAACCCTGAAGCACACCCTTCCTGATTTTAAACTGTGTAGTATCCCCTTGTTCTGTTCAAACAACTACCTGTTGGTCTAAGTACAGGTTCCTCATGAACACAATTAAATATTGTGGAATTGCCATTCTTCTCAATGTTACCCATAATTTGTTATGATCCACAAAGTTGAATGTTTTTGCATGGTCAATAAAACACAATTTTGCATTGACCCATGTCACTTTAGTTTTGTATATTTCACTGTACATAAATTATATTTCAATAAAATGCATTAAAAAAAGAAAGAAATTAAGCACTGACCCATGTCACTTTAGTTTGGTGTATTTCACTGTACATAAATTATATTTCAATAAAATGCATTAAAAAAAGAAAGAAATTAAGCACTGACAGATTACTAAAAATAGAAAGCCACTACCACCTATAGAGACAAAAAATGGATAAAAAGAGTATTACTGGAGCCCAGTGAGAACTGAAACTCTGGCAGAGAGGCCCCACGTTAAGAGCTCTAGTCTGGTGGGCAGTGGGCAGCCCCAGCCTGAGACACGATGCTGAAGCAAGGAAGGAGCAGAGAAGAAATAGCTTGAACTTCATCTTATCCCACCCTGTAATTTTCCACTGGTACTTCATTTGGTAGAACTCATCAGAAAACCAAAGGAGCCCAGATTAAGCTGTCCAAAGAGGTTGGCCTCAGGTGACACAGAGCAGTGGAGAAAGGAGTGAAGGGTGGAAAATGTATCAGGTATGGGTAAAAATAAATAATAATCAGCACCCATTCTATGAATTTACATATTTTGTTATGCTTTTTTATTAGAGAAAAGAGCAGAATCTATTTTTCTGGAATGGTTGAAGAATGATTCTCAAGGAGTAGAGTTCCCGGTGGCAGGAAGTAGATTTTGCTTATTTCTTTAACCCATCACAATGTCTGGCATATTGTAGATAAGCAAGACATATTTGTTGAATTAAAACACAGTTGCAAATCAACATTTATAAACATCTACAAGTGTGCAGGACATGATACATGGTGGTTGCTGGGCTAACGTGTTGAATGAATAATGAATGTGTACGTTCAAAACGAATTATGTGATATTTCAAATGAAAGGTTCAGAAAACCTCAGGCAAACCCTTGGTATTTTAGTTCTTATAGTTGTGAATT